GTGTGTGTGTGAGGGAAAAAGAGAAGAGGGGGTGAGAGAAAGAGAAAGAGAAAGAGGGAGGGAAGGAGACAAATAGATTGATTGGGGTTGGGGAGAGACAGACAGACAAACAAAAAGAAAGACAGCCAGAGAAAGATAGATTGTTTGAATAGAGATTGAAAGGGGGGAGAGGGGTGTCTTTCCTGCCTTCCAACTGCCACGTTTGACCGACTGGATCCAGTGACGTGGCCCACCCTTGTGCGCAGCCTGTCCCTCCTCTCCCACTTCTGGGGATTTCCCACAGCACTGGTCGGAGGAAAACAGAAGGAGCCAGATGGGCAATTTTAGATGTTAATGGCCAACAGTGCAACTGAAATGTTCCCAAGGCAGTTTTTGGTACGAACGATCCAGAGGGCAACAGAAATATATCCCTTCTAGATTTTATATAGCCAGTTTTATTGTAAAACTATCAATTGCAAACGTGCAGAATTACTGCCTGTATTGATGTGATACTGTGTATTCTGTCAACTCTTTTTACATTGTAGTTTCTAAACCTGTGGATTCGGTTCCATATGCTGGAGAAATATTTTGTTGTAAATCAAATTTTAAATGGCTACTTCAGAAAAACACAAGTTGTATCTGCCCAGCACCTAGTTTTGGGAACTTGGACGGTAAAAAGTTTTGAGTTCCATTAGCCGTCAAGTTTTATCGAATGCAGTACTTTGAATATCATGGTAACGGCTCCGAATAATCTCACGATTTTGATAGAACATTTGGCTTCTGACCTCGTGGTCTTAGTAACCCAAAACAGCCAAAAATGTCAGATAGAACATTGTAATTCTGAGGTCGAGAAATGTGGAGCAACGCAATAAAAAGACACAGAATATAAGAGCTTTTTTTAAAGGAGAATGGAAGTTTTTTCTTCCTTATGAAAAATGCTTTCAGGGCTTAAAATATTTTAATGGCTTGCTGACGTAAGATTTAAGTCTCTCACGATATGGGGATGGTGTGTTTTTATCCTCACTCTCACTTTCTCTCTCTCTCTCTCTCACTTTCTCCCCACCCCCCCCTCTCTCTTTCTTTCTCTCT